AAATCCTAAAACATTTCAACTTTGAAACAATACAACAGGCAATCTCAAACCTTAGTACAAATGTATTAATACCTTTACGTAATAATTATATAATTAATATTATGTCACTATTGTTATTATTTTAGACAATATAAAAGTTAGCCAAAGAAAAAATTATTTTTTTTTGGTAATCACTTATTCAGAAAAAAAAATCGATTGCAGGTCTTTCTGTAATTAGTAAGGTCAGATCTCCTTTGTCAAAGATCTTTTCCTCCTCCAAAAAACAGGTAATAAATGTTACTCTTCCTTACATAACTACATAATTTCATGTGATCATAGTAAATCAATTTTTTTTTTTTCGTTCGCGTTAATTCTATTAAATCACTCAATTATTTGATATGTGCATATGATGCGTGTAACGTTGCAGAATTGATCGAAGGTATATAATATAAATTGACTGAAAAATCACGAGTGCTTTTTAAAAGTTATTTACGATGTCTACTCGTTCACTTGAGAAGGCACTCCCGGTGGAGTGTATTCACGAAATAATTTCACACCTGACGCATGACTCTAAGGCTCTTAATAGCTGCATGCGTACAAACCGTTTATTTGCGCGACTTACTGCACCACTTCTCTACAAAAATCCTTGGAAATATTTTGAAGTTGAAGAAGAGGAAGAACTTTACAAGAGAGAACTAAATCCGAAAGGAGCTTTACTGCTCAGGACTTATATAAGCTGTATTAATGAACAGCCAACAGAATCTACTGAGGAAGGCAACTCTTCCTCTAGTTTCACAATCATGGATTATGTTGCATTTACACGACATATTAATATTCCCATTCTATACCGATTCCTTGAAGTTAGGATAGCAGCTACTGCTTCATGCGGTGATAGACCTAGGAAAACTCAAGAAACCTTTTTTGCTTTATCAAAGGCTTTTGGCAATCGCTGTTCTATTGTGGAATCACTAGTTACATGCTGGCATTCTGCCGTTGATATTTTTACTTCAATGGTTCAAAAATTTCCTAACATTGCGCATCTCGATCTTTTACAATACGAAAACACGGATGAAACCTTAAAATTTATCACTAGTAATTGTAAACGGCTCCGCGTATTCAAGTTTACTGTGCGTGGTTGTTCTGCTGCACTTTTAAATAGTTTCTTGGAATCACAGGAAGATGGTTACCTTGAAGAACTTTGTATCAAGATTACCATGGCTCCTAGGTCATTGTTGGCTGGCTTGAAACCGTCTGTTGTTGCCAATATTACTGATTTACGTATAAATGGACTTCATATTGATCATGCGATGGATAATTTAAGATTTCGGAAACTTCAATCTTTGGATTTGAGTGATTGTCATAGTGTTGACGAAAAAACATTCAATGCGTTGGAATTTGGTCAGATGATAACTGAAATCAACCTTTCGGAGACAAAAGTATCAGAAGAAGCCATAGTAGCACTTGCTACTCACTGTAAACATAATCTCAGGAAATTGATTATGTTGCCATGCGGTGCTGCCGATTCTGTTGAACAGGGTATTAAGGCACTCGCGACTCACTGCCCTAATCTCATAGAATTCAGATTGGATGTAATTCGTGTTGAGATAAGAGCTATAATGGAATTAGTTGAGTCATGTAAAAAATTGCAAATTTTGGTTCTTGGTGGAGTTGATGTTAACAATGAAGATTCCTTACTCGATGAACTTATGCACACCATTCGTGTTAATATTGGAGAATCCATATGTGCTCTTGATGTGAGAGAATGGACCATAAGCGAACAAGCAGTGATTGATTTAGTCAGTGCCTGCCGTAATTTGAACAAACTGGTTTTAAGATATTGTCGTAATGTTAATGATGATTGCATAACGAAAATCTGCCAAAATCTTGCTGGAACACTTAGACACCTTGATGTGGCTAATTGTCCTCTAGTGACGCCAAATGGAATTGTAACCGCTGAGGAAGAATTAGTGAATTGTAGAATAATTCATGCTTCTAGACTATTAATATAAAAACTTCACTGTTCTTAAAATTTAATTATTGATATTTTCTCACTTTTGTATCTTTTTCCTTATTCAATGCATTATTTTTATTTTATTTTTTGATTCATTAGGTAACTTATTGTACAGTCAATTTCTTACGTGTTTTTTTTTTTTTTTTTTAACCCATAGAAAAAATTTTTGGGAAATAAATTAGATGTAGTATATGCTGACTTCCGGCTTGACACAAATAAAGGTTTTTTTTTTTATCATTCGCTATATTAAAGGGAACAACCCCTGTAAAAAATGTGGCATGAAAAAAGAGTGGTATAAAAAAAAACTTTTTTGTATTCAGTTACGTTAACTTTCCACAAAAAAAAAAAAAAAAAAAAAAAAAAAAAAAAAAAAAACTAATTTCACCAAACCGAACCTAAAATGATGAAAATATATGTATATGTATGTATGTATGTATGTATGGTATGGTATACAAGAGAATTTGCACTACGAATATATAGTAGACGGTTTTACAAATATTTCATTATATATTTGGTATCATTTTGATTATGGTATTCCAAAGTCTTTCGAACTGCCCATTACTCTACGATTAGCATTGTTATTACCTTCTTGATACCAGTTAACACTGTTTAAACTCCAAATATCTGAATTTGATGCACCTATATTATTACTACCAATATTGTTACTACTATTAATAGATACTGTATCACTAATATTATCTGTTCCTCCGGATCTTCTTATTGGAGGCCATTCATTATCACCAACAGGTCTATGTGTTAAACGCGACGACCCTAGTTGATGTTGCGGTTGCGGTTGTTGATTCTGTGAAGACTGCGACTGTTGAGATGTTTCTAAAAAAATGATCGTTTTAATTATTTGTAATGGTTTATTTAATTTATATTTTTAAATAAAACTTTTCTAACCTCCAGGCAAGGCTGAAAATAAAGAATTAGAGAAATATGAACTTTCAGCAGTTGCAAGGCTTTGTCGTCTATTCGTCATTGGACGTGGTTGATCATCGCCAATTAACGCACCAGATCCAACCATATTGCCAAATCCTGGTGGTGGCGATCGCGTTCGTGTGTCCAGGGATGTATGCATTGTAACTGACTCCCTTCGTGACGGACGTTGTATCGGTTGTGGTCGATGCACCGCTTTGATATGAGGATCATCAGGATGTTGTGACATCCTACGATGCCCGATAGGAGCTAGAGGAGCATTTTGGACGACGTTAGGGCCAATATGAGAAGAGGATGCTGGTTGACCAACAACCTGAGTTCCCAAATTAAATGTTTGTGGACCTAATGGTCCCTGTCCTCCACCTAGGGGCAATCCGCCAAATGCACCAGGTGGTGGGTTAGTATTGACTCTTCCTGTACCAATGTTTCCATTGCCACCAATTACGGGTTCATTAAGGAGAGATAAATTTGTGGATGCTACTGATGGTGGAACACCTGTAGCAGGACCAGTTAGGTGAGGTGCTGCCCCAATAGGATTGAACCCTCGGGGAGGTATCTGTTGTCGCATTACTGGATGATGAGCGTGTATTGGCATCGGAGGTCCACCATGATGTGGATGGACACCCATACCAATTGGGCCTAATCCCGTAGCGAACAGCGAAGATGCGGGATTCATCCCCGGTAAAGTGTTCGTTGGCTGCTGTGGCGGTTGGTTAAGTATTTTTTTATTGTTCGTATATACATCATTTACGATCTCATTATTCATTCCTACTGGACCATTTATAATCCCCCCAGGTTGCCCTCCAAACTGGGGTTGTGGCCCATTCTGACTAAATATTGGATGTGGTGGATGATTTGGGGGTGGAGGCATATGATGATTGACTGAATGAGGTTGATTTATAGCATGATGTGGAGGAATAGTTTGATGTGATTCGTGTGATGCATAATTAATCCAATTAATAGCTCCGTTAGACATCGTAGCAACATTTTTAGATTGTACAGCGGGTTGATTATTTATTGGTGGTTGTGATTGTTGTACTGAAGGTTGACCAATTGGTGGAATAGTGCGTTTTCGCTCAATATGTTGCCGCGTAGAGGATAAAGTAACAGCCCTCTGTTCTTTTTCTTCTTTATCTTTTCTATCTTTTTCTTCGCGTTCTCTACGCTCTTTATCTTCTTTTTCTTTACGAACTTTTTCTTGCTCCTTTAATTCTCGCTCTTTACGTTCATTTTCCTCTTTTTCTTTTCGTTCCCTTGCCTCACGTTCTCTTCGTTCCTTTGCCTCACGCTCTTTTCTATCACGTTCGTCGCGTTGACGCCGCTCTTTTTCCTCTTTTTCCTTACGAGCTTTCTCTTCTCTATCCTTACGTTCTCTCTCCTCTCTCTCTTTACGTTCTTTTGCTTCTTGTTCTTTTCTCCTACGTTCTTCTTTCTCCTTTTCCTCCTTTGCCCTTCTCCTTTTTTCCTCCTCTTTCTTTAAACGTTCTTCTTCCTTTGCTCTTCGTTCTGCTTCTTTTCGAAGGCGTTCTTCCTCACGTTTTTTACGTTCTTCTTCAGCTTTTTTCTCACGCTCAGCACGTAATGCTTGCTCTTCAGCAAGCCTCTCAGCTTCTTTCCTTGCTCTTTCTTCCTCTTTTTGCTGTTTTATAGCCCTAAATAAGTACTCAAATCAATATTGAACAAAACTTATAATTCATTAAAGTACTTCACATCAAAAAGTCAAACCTATTTTTAGCTTTTTTTCTCTCTTTTTCTTTTAGCTTTTTTAGTTCACGTTCTTCTTTTAGCCGGTTTTCTTCTTCTAGCTCTTCCAGTAATTTTTGCTGTCGTTCTTGTGCAACCTAATTAATTCCCAAACCTGTCTTTAGTAAATTAAAAACCTAAAATGCTTGTAAATCATTTTCTGTAACTTTACAAACTTTTTCCCGGTATGCATTTAGTACTCTTTGTTCAAACATTCGTGCTGCAAATATCTGGAACATCCGCCGGCCTTCTTCCATACGTTGTTCCTCTGTTTGTGTATCCTATGAACAAGTTTTTATATAAGTATAAACATAAATTATATAAATTATAGGATTAATGCAAACTTGACGAATTATTCACACCTCTTCTCCTTCGTCTTCATAGTCTTCTTCGTATTCGTCATCATCCTCTTCATAATCACGTTGTTCCATCGCTGCTTCTTCTTCTCTTTGCATTCGACGTTCAGCAAGTCGCTCCATCATTTCAAGAAACTTTTTTCCATCATTTTTTAAAAGGTCATCAGCTACAGTCAAAATGCCTCCTGATTCAGTAAATGTATATTAATACTTTTAATATTGATTAAATAAATCAATAAATCTATTTATAATATATATAAAGAATAAAGAAAATCGACCATCGAGAAGATATTTCCTCAAGGACCTTTTGTTTCCTTCCAGGTAGTCATCACGCACCTTTCACGGTTAAGCTATTACCAAAATTAAAAAGTTCTTTCCGAGTATCGCTACCGTGCTCACTGCCTTCATAGTCTTCATCATCGTCGTCATCTTCGTCATCATATTCATCATCATCATCGTCTTCATCGTATTCCGCAACAGAGTCATTACGATATTCGACAGTTGACGAACCAAATTGTTGTTGTTGATTAGCATATAATTCGAGCTCTTCATAATAAGCATCATAAAGGGTTTCTAGCTCTTCTTCAATAGCGGTTCTAGAATTAATTCAAAAATAATTTTTAATATAATTATATAATAAATAATGTAATATAGAAATAAACTCTCAAAAGACCAAACAGTTATATAAATATAGTGGCTTGTACACAGTATCAATTGAATAAAGCATCAACTTTGGGCATAAATAGTGGATCGTTCATAAAATTAAATATAGTCATTCTAATGAAAATTTTAGATAATAAGTGGTAACATTGTTATACCACCAACCTCTTTCGACCACATACGGAACATGAGCATGAATGTTTCTGTTGTTCTTTCATTTTTTTAAGTACGGCTTCTTTTTCGACTTTTACTAAACTCCGTCGTTCCTCTTCACCTAATTGCAACCAGAATTCTCTTATCCGTTGTCGTTCTTCATTATTATTGGTATTCCAGATACCGTCTTTACGAGATTTATGATTATGGTTATGATGAGGATGATTGTGGATATCTGTCATTTGACTGATTGAAAGGGCAGATTTATTCTTCTTCTTTTTCTTCTTTTTCTTCGCAGGCGTAGAAGGAACATGGTGATTATCACCGTCAATATTAGTGAGAGAATCTTTACGCGGGAAAGGTATTTCCGGAGCTTCAGGATCGTACCCTTCATCATCCGAGAAAAACTCTTCATCATCTTCTATATCCACATCAACCACCTCTTCTCCATCAAAATCGCTATTGTAAATAGTGTGATGAGACTTTGTATGTTGATTATGGGTTCCATTAGCGATATCGGGATCTTCAATGTGATCTGGAGGAGGCTTTCTTTTGCCTTTCTTCTTTTTTTTCTTTTTTGCGGCGCCGTTACTATTTTGTGAGCTATGAGAAGGAGCAAGTTCGCCAGGATCTTTTGAAGGCGGTGAAGTCGGTGACAAAGGCGTCCCGGAAGGTTCCTTTACAATGTTCATACACTTCGTGCCCGACTTGTTGTAAATTACAGCCTGTTTTGGATTTATTTGTTGCGGGAAAATAGGTGGAGGATGAGGTAAACTTTCTTCAGGTGGGAAAGCGTGTGAGGTCGCCATCATTATTGCCGTTACTTCGGATTATGGCGTCCTTTATTTGCTTTATAAAATTCTGGTATTTATTTAATAGGACTAAAATAAAGGAAAAAATAGTCAGCTAAGATGGTCAATACCATAATAAGTAGATTTAGTCAAACATTCAGACCTTAGTGGCAGTTTAAAATAATAGGTAGCTCAAGATTACAGAAGTCGAAGCAGTGTTAAGTATAGAGTCTCGTATATAGTCTCAAGGCAGTGATCTCGAGTAGCTCTGCAGGTGGTTTGTAACTTATTAAATATATATACTTTTTTTTTGCACCCAAACCAGCTTACGAAAGAGGCTTGTTAAATCACAGGGACTTTATATATCTTTTTTTACAATTCATCGACGTTTATCAGTTGGACTAATAATATACACGACGTCATCTAAAAAATTTCGGATGAAACCTTTACTATGTGATAAATATGATATTGTTATGGGGTGTTGGATTGCCTATCATTATAAGCAAAGATATTCATAGAAATTCTACTATATTGTAAAATTCAGGTTTTACACTCTATACATAGTTTATGTGATAAATTGATAATCCCCTGGTTTGTAAGGTGATATTTAACTAATACATGAAATAATGCTGAATTTTTGATTGTTCGAAGCAACTTTGTCGTTAAAAACCCATTTTTCTTGAATAACATAGCGAGTGTAATGAACGCTTTTCTCATGTATTTTTTTGCTTTATTTAGATATTTGCTATGTTTTCGGAAAATATTAAAATAACTAAAGGAGTGGTCCACTGAGTAACGGTGAAATGTTCAATCTTGATGTATCGGCCAAAGATATATAAGATGCTTAGAAAACTTGTACAAAGCCCCATTTGCATATCTGATCTATTTTTTTTGACCATGAGCATTACATGTCAAACAAACAAAAAAAAAAAAAAAAAAAAAAAAATTAAAAGAATCACATTAATGTTGATTAAAATTCGTTTTTAAACACGTGTTCTTAAAATCGGGATTCAATCGCAGTTGAAATGATCTCTATACATATCGATTTTACTTTTAATTGAAAATTAAAAACTTTGATATTTAAACCTTGCAGGTTTTTATTATTATTAGAATTTTCTTGAAAAAATAATAATAATTGAAATTTTATACATTGTTTATTTAAAACATTAACAGAAATACAGTATATACTATAGCAATACTTTATATAAATTGTAATTCTACTAATTTTACTTTATTTGGCAAAAGATAATGTATATACTTTATACGTACGTATTATACTTATTGTATTTTTTATATAGAAATAATTAATACATACGTATTAACTTATTTAAATATGTATATGAGTGTCGCTAAAAGAAAACCCGACAATTTAAATATAAGTCATATTTAAATTGTCGGGTTTTCTTTTAGCGACACTCATATACTGTAATATATATTTTACAGTATGTACTAATCGTAGTATATACTGTATGTATATACAAATTACTGTATATATTTAATAATATCAAATATTACTAAAATCAAATAAAGATTTGCTATTTATATATTATTATTAGTAATATCTCTAGAATCTAGAATATAGTATAAAATTTTATTAATAGAACTACTTTCTATAAAATTTTAAATATATATAATAAATCCTGTTTTTTTTTTTTTTTTTTTTTTTTCTAATTCGGCTGTCTTGCTTTATTTATTATGGTACTAGTCTTTCAAAAATTATAATAACTTTATCTAATGACTATAGAAGTACAACCAAAATAAAACTCATCTATGTGATTTTATACACCAGGCACGATCTGCTTAAGTAGCTTTTGGCCTCCCTCAGGGTTTTTAACTCACTAATGACTTTTTTTTCATTGTTCATCGATTGGCAGCTACCCGTCGCATCAAAAAGCAAAATAAGAAAAAACATAAAATGGACTAAAAAAAACACAGAGGTATAGGAGGATATGATGAAAATATACAAATATGAAAGAAAAGAAATAAAGGGTTATCAAAAAAACAAAACACAAAGCAATTTTGCTTATTTTAATGCTACTATTATAAGCCTGTGGGTGGTTTGGAAAAATTACATACTAACTAGACAAATTAGTCTCTACTCCTATTTTTCTCTAAACTAGTATACAAAAGTAAAAACCTAATAGGAAAAATTTCATTGATTGATTTAAGGTAGAGAGGTTAGAACAGAGTCTCAAAGCATCATTTGTATGAATATCTATTGCATTTGAGGCACGTATATACACATGTTTATTGTCACGTTCCAATTTGGGAGATAAACAATGCCAACTTATTTGGTATATGTGATATCAATCATTTAGAGA